TCCCTCTCTCAATACCCATGGGGAGATGTTATCTGGCCCCATTGCCTTTGAGGTATCTAGCTCACTCAGAAGCCTCTTCACTTCTTCCTCGGTTGTGTGCACTGTGTCCAGCACTTGGTGGTGTGCCCCACCTCTCCGTCTTTCTGGAGTCCCTTCTGTCTCCTCTGTGAACACTTCTTTGAATCTCTTGTTGAGTTCTTCACATACTTCACGGTCATTTCTTGTTGTCTCTCCTCCTTCCTTCCTTAGCCTGATTACCTGGTCCTTGACTGTTGTTTTCCTCCTGATGTGGCTGTACAACAGTTTCGGGTCAGATTTGGCTTTCGCTGCTATGTCATTTTCATATTGTCTTTGGGCCTCCCTTCTTATCTGTGCATATTTGAGTGTGTGTGTGTGTGTGTGTGTGTGCGTGTGTGTGTGTGTGTGTGTGTGTGTGTGTGTGTGTGTGTGTGTGTGTGTGTGTGTGTGTGTGGTGTCTGTGTGTATGCGCGTGTGTGTGTGTGCGTGTGCGTGTGTGTGTACTCACCTATTTGTACTCACCTATTTGTGGTTGCAGGGGTCGAGTCCTAGCTCCTGGCCCCGCCTCTTCACCGGTTGTTACTAGGCCCTCTCTCTCCCCGCTCCATGAGCTTTATCAAACCTCGTCTTAAAACTGTGTATGGTTCCTGCCTCCACTACGTCATTTTCTAGGCTATTCCACTGCCTTACAACTCTATGACTGAAGAAATACTTCCTACTATCTCTCTGACTCATTTGTGTCTTCAACTTCCAATTGTGGCCTCTTGTTTCTGTGTCCCCTCCCTGGAACATCCTGTCTTTGTCCACCTTGTCTATTCCACGCAGTATTTTATATGTCGTTATCATGTCTCCCCTGACCCTCCTGTCCTCCAGTGTGGTCAGGCCGATTTCCCTTAATCTTTCCTCATAGGACATTCCCCTTAGCTCTGGAACTAACCTTGTCGCAAACCTTTGTACTTTCTCTAGTTTCTTGACGTGCTTTATCAAGTGCGGGTTCCAAACAGGTGCTGCATACTCCAGTATGGGCCTGACATACACGGTGTACAGTGTCTTGAATGATTCCTTACTAAGGTATCGGAATGCTGTTCTCAGGTTTGCCAGGCGCCCATATGCTGCAGCAGTTATCTGATTGATGTGTGCTTCCGGAGACATGCTCGGTGTTATACTCACCCCAAGATCTTTCTCCTTGAGTGAGGTTTGCAGTCTTTGGCCACCTAGCCTATACTCTGTCTGTGGTCTTCTGTGCCCCTCCCCCATCTTCATGACTTTGCATTTGGCAGGATTAAATTCGAGAAGCCATTTGCTGGACCAGGTGTCCAGTCTGTCCAGGTCTCTTTGAAGTCCTGCCTGGTCCTCATCAGATTTAATTCTCCTCATTAACTTCACATCATCTGCAAACAGGGACACTTCTGAGTCTAACCCTTCCGTCATGTCGTTCACATATACCAAAAATAGCACTGGTCCTAGGACCGACCCCTGTGGGACCCCGCTCGTCACAGGTGCCCACTGTGATACATCATTACGTACCATGACTCGTTGTTGCCTCCCTGTCAGGTATTCTCTGATCCATTGCAGTGCCCTTCCTGTTATATGCGCCTGATGCTCTAGCTTCTGCACTAATCTCTTGTGAGGAACTGTGTCAAAGGCCTTCTTGCAGTCCAAGAAGATGCAATCAACCCACCCCTCTCTCTCTTGTCTTACTTCTGTTATTTTATCATAAAACTGCAGAAGGTTTGTGACACAGGATTTGCCTTCCGTGAATCCGTGCTGGTTGGCATTTATACTCCTGTTCCGTTCCAGGTGCTCCACCACTCTCCTCCTGATAATCTTCTCCATAATTTTGCATACTATACACGTCAATGACACAGGTCTATAGTTTAGTGCCTCTTTTCTGTCTCCTTTTTTAAAAATGGGAACTACATTTGCCGTCTTCCATACCTCAGGTAGTTGCCCAGTTTCCAGGGATGTGTTGAAGATTGTGGTAAGTGGCACGCACAACATATCTGCTCCCTCTCTAAGGACCCACGGGGAGATGTTGTCTGGTCCCATTGCCTTTGAGGTATCGATGTGTGTGTGTGTGTGTTGTGTGTGTGTGTGTGTGTGTGTGTGTGTGTGTGTGTGTGTGTGTGTGTGTGTGTGTGTGTGAGTGTGTGTGTGTGTGTGCATTCATTCTTCCATGTGTAAGTTCTTTCAAGACTGAGTGCTTTTATTCATGCGTGCTGGGTTGGATGCGTGCTGGGATGGATGCGTGCTGGGATGGATGCGTGCTGAGATGGTTGCGTGCTGAGATGGATGAGTGCTGGGATGGATGCGTGCTGGGATGGATGCGTGCTGAGATGGATGCGTGCTGGGATGGATGCATGCTGGGATGGATGCATGCTGGGCTGGATGCGTGCTGAGATGGATGCGTGCTGGGATGGATGCATGCTGGGCTGGATGCGTGCTGGGATGGATGCGTGCTGAGATGGATGCGTTCTGGGATGGATGCGTGCGTGTGTGTGTGTGTGTGTGTGTAATGTGGAGCTGTTACCAATTCCTCCCTGGGCACCCGTCTCGACACACAGGCCATTCGGATTGGTGTTGCTCTTCGCCTAGCCGCCCCTATCCTCACCGAACATAGGTGTATTTGCGGCAGGGCGACAGCTGATCAATTCAGACTTCATGGTCTCTTGTGTCACACAGCAGAAGGGAAGTGTGCCAGACATGAGAAGGTCAATGACATCATAAAGAGAAGCCTCGCCACAGCCCGTTGCCCAGCTCAACAGGAACCCCAAGTACAGAGGTCTGACGGAAGTCAAAAGTGTCCTGATGGAGCCACTATGCTACCCTGGAAGGATGGAAACCAGATTGCCTGGGACTATACCTATGCAGCCACAGTGGCAGACACCTACTTGCTATACTCCGCAGCTGAAGGGGGTGGAGCTGCCAGCCACAGGGAGACGCAGAAGACCCGCAAATATGAAGATCTCTCCTCTTGCTATAACTTGACCCCAATAGGGTCGGAGATCCTTGGAGCATGGGCAAAGTGTGCTCTAAAGTTCCTCAAAGAGCTGGGTGAAAAACTCATCATAGAAACCAAGGGCCACAGGGCGACCAGCTTTCTCTTTCAGAGTCTCAGTGTCGCGATCCAGAGAGGAAATGCCTGCAGCATTCTGGGCACGCGGCCCACCGCTGTGGAGCTGGACGAAGTATTCGAGATGTAGCTCTGAGTTATCTATGTTGTTTTACTCCATATTATATTTTTTGTTAATGTATTATGTCAATGTATCTTGTTTTTAAATAAAGCATATGTAGAATATATAGGGCGTGGTAGGAGAAAATTTTAAAACAGCTTCAGGAAGAACCTTGAGTTTTCCCTGAAGCAAGTTTATTCTTTTCTCTGAGGATGAGGGTCCCTAGGACAGTTCTAGAGGTGGTACCTATATACATACATACATACACACACACACACACACACACACACACACACACACACACACACACACACACACACATACTTGTCAGGAAGACAGCAGCGAGTAATGGTACGTGGCGAGGTGTCAGAGTGGGCACCTGTGACCAGCGGGGTCCCACAGGGGTCAGTCCTAGGACCAGTGCTCTTTCTGGTATTTGTGAACGACATGACGGAAGGAATAAACTCCGAAGTGTCCCTGTTTGCAGATGACGTGAAGTTGATGAGAAGAATTCATTCGATCGAAGACCAGGCAGAACTACAAAGGGATCTGGACAGGCTGCAGACCTGGTCCAGCAACTGGCTCCTGGAGTTCAATCAAACCAAGTGCAAAGTCATGAGGATTGGGGAAGGGCAAAGAAGACCGCAGACGGAGTACAATCTAGGGGGCCAGAGACTACAAACCTCACTCAAGGAAAAAGATCTTGGGGCGAGTATAACACAAGGCACATCTCCTGAAGCGCACATTAACCAAATAACTGCCGCAGCATATGGGCGCCTGGCAAACCTCCGAACAGCATTCCGACATCTTAATAAGGAATCGTTCAGGACCCTGTACATCGTGTACGTTAGGCCCATATTAGAGTATGCAGCACCAGTTTGGAACCCACACCTAGCCAAGCATGTAAAGAAACTAGAGAAAGTGCAAAGGTTTGCGACAAGACTAGTCCCAGAGTTAAGAGGTATGTCCTATGAGGAGAGGTTAAGGGAAATCAACCTGACGACACTGGAGGACAGGAGAGATAGGGGGGACATGATAACGACTTACAAAATACTGAGAGGAATTGACAAGGTGGAAAAAGACAGGATGTTCCAGAGACTGGACACAGCAACACGGGGACACAGTTGGAAGCTGAAGACACAGATGAATCAAAGGGATGTTAGGAAGTATTTATTCAGCCACAGAGTAGTCAGGAAGTGGAATAGTTTGGGAAGCGATGTAGTGGAGGCAGGATCCATACATAGCTTTAAACAGAGGTACGATAAAGCTCATGGTTCAGGGAGAGTGACCTAGTAGCGACCAGTGAAGAGGCGGGGCCAGGAGCTTGGACTCGACCCCTGCAACCTCAACTAGGTGAGTACACACACACACACACACACACACATATATATATATATATATATATATATATATATATATATATATATATATATATATATATATATATATATATATATATACATAAACGATGTTACACCTGTGCAATGCTTATTTAAAATTAAATCCACAATAGTAAGGTATATAAGCATCGGCTAGGTAAGTGGTGTTATGCTTGGTGAAGATAGTGACTGTCATTGTTATCAGTGTTGACGAACTGAGTTACTGCTTGTGTCTCATCATTATTTACGTGACTACTCGAATAAGTATTATCATGTAGTGTCTTTTAAGTTGTTAATTTCTTTTTGGACTCCCCAGTATTCTTCACTACCTAGTTCTAACTTATTTAATGATAAATTGTAGTTAAATATATATATAAATATGTATATGGAAATTATTTCCTGTAGAGATAAGATTAACTCTCTCTGATCACTCAACTCACTAGGCAGTTACCTTAGCCAGTGTTAATATTACTTCGTCTTCTGGTATGTTGCAACCTTCTCTCAATTGTCCAATGTTAATTTACGGTATTTTCCTCTGTGTTAACTTTCCACCTGTTGTTCAGTGTAAAGTTATTCTTTCTTGCACAGTGATTCATTTCCGCTTAATAATAAGTGCTTCACTTAGTTTTCTGTTCATCATTATTCTCCGTCTCTTGCCCAGTGTTAATCTCTCTTTCTCAGTGTTAATTCTCTCCCCCTACGTTAACTCAACGTCTCTTGTTCCCTGTAAAATATAATTCTGTCACTCATTAATGATATTTTATCATTATTTAAGTGTTAATTTTAATTCTGTGGCTAAGTTTTGGCTGTCAGTTTCTTTCCAACTGCTGGAAAAATTCAGATTCAGGAAGGATATAGGACAGCACAGGTTTGGCAATAGAGTTGTGGATGAGTGGAACAAACTCCCGAGTACCGTCATAGAAGCTAAGACGTTGTGTACTTTTAAAAATAGGTTTGATAAATACATGAGTGGATGTGGGTGGGTGTGAGTTGAACCTGACTAGCTTGTGCTACTAGGTCAGATGCCATGCTCCTTCCTTTAGTGAATGTGACCTGACCTGACTAGGTTAAGGCATTGGCTTAAGCCAGTGGGAGAATAGGACCTGCCTCGCATGGGTCAGTAGTCCTACTGCAGTGTTCTTTCTCTCTTATGTTCTTATGTTTAGAAGTGCTGTTTAACCCTAGTTCAATAAGTGTTAACTCACTGACATTTATTACGACTTATACTGAGTATCAGGTTAAGTGTTACCTTATTTCCTTATCAAGTGTTTATACTCATTCTCTTTTAAAATGTTAATTTCGTGACTGATTATTGTTAACTTTCCAAATGTGTTAACTGTGCCTCTTCAGGAGTAAACTTTCGATCATAACTGATGTGTTAATAATATGCAAATTGCTAAAAGTTAAGTAATTATATCATATCAAGAGTTAACGTTCTTGCTTGTCTTGTGAGAGATAACTTCCGTGTCTTGTGAGAGATAACGTCAGTGTCTTGTGAGAGATAACTTCCGTGTCTTGTGAGAGATAACGTCAGTGTCTTGTGAGAGATAACTTCTGTGTCTTGTGAGAGATAACGTCAGTGTCTTGTGAGAGATAACTTCCGTGTCTTGTGAGAGATAACTTCCGTGTCTTGTGAGAGATAACTTCCGTGTCTTGTGAGAGATAACTTCCGTGTCTTGTGAGAGATAACGTCAGTGTCTTGTGAGAGATAACTTCTGTGTCTTGTGAGAGATAACGTCAGTGTCTTGTGAGAGATAACTTCCGTGTCTTGTGAGAGATAACTTCCGTGTCTTGTGAGAGATAACGTCAGTGTCTTGTGAGAGATAACTTCTGTGTCTTGTGAGAGATAACGTCAGTGTCTTGTGAGAGATAACTTCTGTGTCTTGTGAGAGATAACGTCAGTGTCTTGTGAGAGATAACTTCCGAGTTTTGTGATAGATAACTTCTGTGTCTTGTGAGAGATAACTTCCGAGTCTTGTGAGAGATAACGTCAGTGTCTTGTGAGAGATAACTTCCGTGTCTTGTGAGAGATAACGTCAGTGTCTTGTGAGAGATAACTTCCGTGTCTTGTGAGAGATAACGTCAGTGTCTTGTGAGAGATAACTTCCGTGTCTTGTGAGAGATAACGTCAGTGTCTTGTGAGAGATAACTTCCGTGTCTTGTGAGAGATAACGTCAGTGTCTTGTGAGAGATAACTTCCGAGTTTTGTGATAGATAACTTCTGTGTCTTATGAGAGATAACTTCTGTGTCTTGTGATAGATAACTTCCGTGTCTTGTGAGAGATAACTTTCGTGTCTTGTGAGAGATAACTTCCCTGTCTTGTGAGAGATAACTTTCGTGTCTTGTGAGAGATAGCTTCCGTGTCTTGTGAGAGATAACTTTCGTGTCTTGTGAGAGATAACTTCCGTGTCTTGTGAGAGATAACTTCCGTGTCTTGTGAGAGATAACTTCCGTGTCTTGTGAGAGATAACTTCCGTGTCTTGTGAGAGATAACTTTCGTGTCTTGTGAGAGATAACTTCCCTGTCTTGTGAGAGATAACTTCCGTGTCTTGTGAGAGATAACTTCCGTGTCTTAGCGGAATAAATGAAATTTATTCCGCTAAGGAGAACTGCATATTGTTTTCTGAGGCACGTATGAAGACTTGGAAAATGTCCACTTGGGGGTTTGCAGTGTCATCAGTGGAGGACACTGTCATGCAAATTCTGGTATCGTCAACAGAGGACACTGTGCTGGGGTTTACTTCTCTGTCTATGAGGGAAAAGTCTGGGAGAGAGTACTATTCCTCTATCTTTACTCTGTTTACCATTATTCTTTGTGTATTGTTCATGAGGAGGTTATAGATCCATCTACCCACTTTTTCTCTAATTCGTTTATAATGCATTTTGTGTGCTGTTACACAAGGATCGCACTTATCGAGGACTTCCGCAAAGGCTGTGTATAGTACATCTGCATTTTGTTTGTCCTCCAGTGCATCCAAGACCATGTCCTAGTGATCCAGTAGTTGTGAGAGGCAGGAGCGACCTGCTCTCAACTCATGCTTCCCTGGGTTGTGTAATTGTTGGGTGTCCAGGTGGTTGGCGATCTTGCTTCTTACAACCCTCTCAAAGATTTTTATAATATGTGACGTTAGTGTTATCACTCTGTAATTCTTTGCAAGTGCTTTACTGCCACCTTTGTGGAGTGGGGCTATGTCCATAATTTTTAGTGACTGTGGGGTGACCCATGTGTCTATACTCCCTCTCCACAGAATATTTAAAGCATGTGATGGACACGGAGTTCCACGAGTCTGGGCCTGGGGCAGAGTACAGGGGCATGTAGGCAATTGCTTTTTCAAAGTCCACCGGAGTTTGGGTTATGTCAGAAATTTGACATACACTGACAAGGTTTAGAGGTTAGTTCATGAAAAATTTATTGTGTAACTTCAGTATCTCACTCATTTCTTTGCTGTTGTCTATGAAATGATAGGATGGATAGTGAGAACCTTCAAAACTAGGGATGCCAAGCCCATGATGACATTCTTCAAATCGCTTGTTCTCTCTAGGCTGGAATACTGCTGTACACTAACTGCCCCCTTCAAGGCAGAGGAAGTTACTGACCAGGAGAGTTTACAAAGAACTCTCACAGCAAACATAAGTACGATAAATAGAGCACCTAAATTACTGGGAACGGTTGAAGTCCCTTGATTTGTATTTCCTGGAACGCCAGTTAGAGAGAGATACATGATAATATACACTTGGAAAATCCTAGAAGGATTAGTATCAAACTTGCACACGAAAATCATTCCATATGAAAGTGAAAGATTCAGCATTATATGCAACATTCTCCTAATGAAAAGCAGGGGTTCCACGAGTATACTTAGAGACAACACATTAAGTGTCCAGGGCTCAAGACTGTTCAACTTCCTCCCAGCATACATAAGGGGGATTACCAATAGACCCCTGGCTGTCTTCAAGAAGGCACTGGACGGTCAGTACCTGACTAGCCGGGCTGTGGTTCGTACGTCAGTTTGCGTGAGGCCAGCAGTAACAGCCTGATTGATCAGACCCTCATCCACCAGGTATTCTCTAGGTATATAAGTCCCATCTTGTTTGAGCATGGGTCCAATACTGTACGTGGTTTTTGACTTGTTTATGGCATATGAAAAGAAATATATTTTAGCACCTCGTGTGTCTCCTGGATTCTGTATGAATCATTTAACTTACGTTCAATATTTTCTACATCCCTGGTCAGTGCTCGTTTTCGTATTTCAGATAATCCAGCTCTCTTGAGAAACTCACTGATTCCTCGCCTTTGCTTATCTCTCTGTTTTTAGTTTACCTATTCTCTTCTTTTTTTTTCTCTGGGGAATATGCCTTGAGCATCCTTTAGCTACCAAGGAGTTGATCCTTTCAAGACATCGGTTCGGGACCATGTTATTTAAAATATCATCCCAAGATGTTTCATTGAGGACATGATTTATTTGATCCTAGTTCATAATCTTGTTTTTTAAGCTGAATTTGGTGAAGGCACTATCGTCAGGACCCCTGTGAATACAAGTCTGAATTTCGATTAGAATGTGATCTGAATTAACTGTTTTTGATACTGATATTTCGTACCAGGCCATCTTCATTCTTGAAAATAAGGTCAAGTGTATTTTCCAGTCTTGTTGACTCCATTATCTGTTAGCTTAGGGTGAATTTATGGCAGAGATCCCTGAGCTTCCAGGGATTATCTCTGCTATGACATTATTTGCCACATTCTTCTATGTTATATGTCTTAAAATTACCAAGCAGCAAAATATTTGGGACTGGGGTTGGAAAATTTTCCAAACAGTAATCAGTTTTTAATAAATGTTTCTTGAATTATTGGGAAGTTGCATCTGATGATTTATACACATACACGATGACTAGGTTTTGGTTGTCAATGTTTATTGGTAAAACTTTGGTAAAGTTTGTGGGACCTGTACCTCCTGGTCCCTTTCAAATGGTATGCAGGACAGTTTGTATTGTAGAATTGTTTTTCTTGAACTGATATATTGAACATTTCAAGTTTAAAATGTTTACAAAAGGTAGAAAGACACATTCCACTGGACAGGAGGTTGAAGCATTTTATTGGGTGATCAGAATTACACATCTCGGATATTCCATGCCTACAGATACTCATAGCATAGAATTTGCATAATTTTGCTTTCAGCTGGCTAGAATTTAGAACTGCACAACCATAGTAGAATCAAAACTACCACCTATTTCTAGAACTAGACCAACACTGTCTCCAGAAGCAGAGTTTTGCTCTATTAAATCTGTAATGGTGGCTGTGGTAGCGTCTGTAGCCTAGTCTGCAGTGTCGTCTGTATCAGGGTTCGTAGCTGGATCATCACTAGAGTTGGTGGCTGACTGGGGTGATGCTTAGAGATAAGGTATGATCAGATTTCGTATTTTTAACCCCTGATGGTTAGCCACCCAGAATAACATAAGAAAATCAGTGCGTCATCGACGACAGTCTTATTTCCGCTGGGGTCCTTAAATCTTGTCTCCCAGGATGTGACCCACACCAGTCGACTAACAACCAGGTACCTACTTGCTTGCTAGGTGAACTGGGACAACAGGTATAAGGAAACGCGCCCAATGACAGGGATCAAACAACGGATATTCAGTGTGGAAAATTACATTTATCTGGATGTAACTCATAATGTACATACCAGTAAATGATAGCAAAGATAATTATTATTTATCAAAGTTACATAGACAAGTAGGAATTTGGGACACCTAGGTCGCAAAAATGTTCCCCTTCGATACCTACCACTGTCATATCCACAAGTTGCTCTAGACCTATTAATTACAAATTTTATTAAATACAATATATTACACTAATTTACATAAAAAATACACTGTATTTTTTCTGGAAAATACATTATTTTCCACATTCAGCGTGTGAAGCGAGAGCGTTGCCTACCAGGCCACGGAACACTGTTTAGTTTTACGTATTTTAGCAAGTGAGTCTGTTTATTTCCGAGTCATATACTGTAAAAAGGGCATTTAAAATATTCTTATAATTTGCTTCTCTTTCACATTCTGGCTCGTTGGAGGTCACGACTTGCTCTTCCTTCCATGTTCTACATATGCTGGCTAGACTATCCTAGAGAACTCCTGTGTTTTCCTATTTAATATTTATTTCTACAAGTACATGTACGTACAAGGTGGTATAAACCTTGGTAATAAATACCGACAAGTTGGTTTAGAAAGACACGTAAGCAAACACTATAACATATTTATTAGAAAACGTTTCGGTCCTGGGACCTTGATCACTTCTAACATACAGAGGTAGAAAGACATTATATATATAGGCGGAGAGTGAGATGTGACGCACGTGACCTGAGGAATGTCACAAGAACATAAGAATGGAGGAACACTGTAGAAGGCCTACTGGCCCATGCGAGGCAGGTCCTTATCAAAACAACCTCTACCTATGATGGAAATAAATGGTATAAAATACCGACACAATGGCAATATAAACACAAATGCAGTATAATGTGATCCTTTATTGACTACGTTTCGCCCACACAGTGGGCTTTTTCAAGTCACAAACAGAACTACCTGGGGTGGAAGGAACGCGAGTATTTATAGTCCAGCTGAGGTCAGGTGAAGAATGCTGCATCTGATGATGTACCGAGTTGGGTTGTAGAGTCTAAAAACTTGGGTAGCTTGGAAAGGAGACTGGACAAGTTTGTGAGCAGACCTTCTACAGTGTTCTTATGTGGGATAGCGATGAAGAAGTTTCTTGGCAAGTGGTTCAGCTATGTTGTAGAAGCCACTATTCTGGTTGAAGTTGTCGGATATAGAAATAAGTGATGTTTCCCAGGATTTTCGGTATTGAGGGGTTGTCTTCTGTGGCGATAAGTCTTGAGTTTTTGTAGTTTATCAAGTGGTTGTGTGAATTACGGTGTTGTACGCAGGCAGGTCTGACGACACAAGGAATGCCTGCGTACAACACCGTAATTCACACAACCACTTTGATAAACTACAGAAACTCAAGACTTATCGCAACAGAAGAAACACTCAATACCCAAGAATCCTGGAATCATCACTTATTTCTATATCCGACAACTTCAACCAGAATAGTGGCTTTCTACAACATAGCTGAACCACTTGCCAAAGAAACTTCTTCATCGCTATCCCACATAAGAACACTGTAGAAGGTCTGCTCACAAACTTGTCCAGTCTCCTTTCCAAGCTACCCCAAATTTTTAGACTCTACAACCCAACTCGGTACATCATCAGATGCAGCATTCTTCACCTGACCTCAGCCGGACTATAAATACTCGCGTTCCTTCCACCCCAGGTAGTTCTGTTTGTGACTTGAAAAAGCCCACTGTGTGGGCGAAACGTAGTCAATAAAGGATCACATTATACTGCATTTGTCTCTACCTATGATGAGGACGGGTAGACGATGAAATCATGTGACTCCTGTGTTGTTGGGTTGGTGCTGCTTAAGTATCATGTATGCCAATGTTTTTGAAATTTTGTAGTTTCCAGTGTTGCGTACAAGGTATACAAGCCTTGCTGACATCAGTAACAAATTAACATGTATATAATTAGTACTCTCCTCGGCACTCTCCCCGAAACCTGTCCAAAGCTCCATATCCTTATTGCAGATCCAGAAACACCTTGCCAGTTGAATGTCATTGATGAATCAATGTTTACTCTTGTGCAAGAGACATGGTGTTTCCAAAAACATACATTACATGTAATCCTAGATATTTTTTCTGATGACCTCTTCACATGTTCCACAGGTGTTCTTGCTTACCATCCAGCCGGTGTCTTATTAGCAGTCCAGGTACCACGAAACCTGAATGCTGCTCCACGAGAGGAAATGGAGGCACAGAGTGAAAATGTGGCGGAAATTTGGCGAGGTGAGCATTATTATTATTATTATTATTATTATTATTATTATTATTATTATTATTATTATAAAAAAGAAGCGTTAAACCTACAAGGGAGAGGTGAGCAGAAGTTAAGGGGCAATTGAAGGGTAGTTTGTAATGCTGTGACTAACCCACCACACTAAAATTTCTGGGATTTATTACCCCGGGTGGGTTACGTTGCCAGTGACAGGGAAGCCTGGGTATTGTTACCCCGGGTGGGTTAAGTCGCCAGTGACAGGGAAGCCTGGGTATTGTTACCCCGGGTGGGTTACGTCGACAATGACAGGGAGGCCTGGGTATGGTTACCCCGGGTGGGTTACGTCGCCAGTGACAGGGAAGCCTGGGTATGGTTTCCCCGGGTGGGTTAAGTCGACAATGACAGGGAAGCCTGGGTATGGTTACCCCCGGGGGGGTTACGTCGCCAGTGACAGGGAGGCCTGGGTATGGTTACCCCCGGGTGGGTTACGTCGCCAATGACAGGGAAGGCCTGGGGATAGGTTACCCCGGGTGGGTTACGTCGCCAGTGACAGGGAGGCCTGGGTATGGTTACCCCGGGTGGGTTACGTCGCCAGTGACAGGGAAGCCTGGGTATGGTTACCCCGGGTGGGTTACGTCGCCAGTGACAGGGAGGCCTGGGGTATGGTTACCCCCGGGGGGTTTACGTCGCCAATGACAGGGAAGCCTGGGTATGGTTACCCGGGTGGGTTACGTCGCCAGTGACAGGGAAGCCTGGGTATGGTTACCCCGGGTGGGTTACGTCGCCAGTGACAGGGAGGCCTGGGTATGGTTACCCCGGGTGGGTTACGTCGCCAATGACAGGGAAGCCTGGGTATGGTTACCCCGGGTGGGTTACGTCGCCAGTGACAGGGAGGCCTGGGTATGGTTACCCCGGGTGGGTTACGTCGCCAGTGACAGGGAAGCCTGGGTATGGTTACCCCGGGTGGGTTACGTCGCCAGTGACAGGGAAAGGCCTGGTATGGTTACCCCGGGTGGGTTACGTCGCCAATGACAGGGAAGCCTGGGTATGGTTTTCCCGGGTGGGTTACGTCGCCAGTGACAGGGAAGCCTGGGTATGGTTACCCCGGGTGGGTTACGTCGCCAGTGACAGGGAGGCCTGGGTATGGTTACCCCGGGTGGGTTACGTCGCCAGTGACAGGGAAGCCTGGGTATGGTTACCCCGGGTGGGTTACGTCGCCAGTGACAGGGAGGCCTGGGTATGGTTACCCCGGGTGGGTACGTCGCCAGTGACAGGGAACCCTGGGTATGGTTACCCCGGGTGGGTTACGTCGCCAGTGACAGGGAGGCCTGGGTATGGTTACCCCGGGTGGGTTACGTCGCCAGTGACAGGGAAGCCTGGGTATTGCTACCCCAGGTGGGTTGCGTTGCCAGACATATGACCGAAACATAAACACATGAGGATAGTATCTAAGAACCTTTTACTCTCTACCACGTTCGTGAATAATATTATTGTTTCTCTAATTTCTAATTACCTCCAACTCTAATTTACTGCATTAATTACAGGTTTCTAGAGCAGTGGAAAGACTTACTACCAGTGATTTGATTAACTTGGATGCGTTGTAGATGCGTGGAACAGTCTTCCCAGTGGGGTGATAGAGGCTAGGACCTTGGGTAGCTTTAAGAAGAGACTGGACAAATATATGAGTGGGAGGGGCTGGGTTTGATTGGTGTCAAGGGGTACAGGAGTTATTTCTTGAGTAGCTTTAGGTAGATGTCGTTTTGATAAGGACCTGCCTCGTATGGGCCAGTAGGCCTTCTGCAGTGTTCCTACATTCTTATGTTCTTATGTTCTTATCTGCACAGTGATTCTAAATTGTAGTTTAAATACACTTCATCTAGTTTAATTTATTTTACCTGTGAGTAACTAAACTTAATTACAATTCATTTCAATATATAGGATAACTGAATGAACATTAAAATGGTATAAAATACCGACAGATTGTTAGGTAAGACACATATGCAACAGTTAGGTATCTTTATTTCGAAACGTTTCGCCTACACAGTAGGCTTCTTCAGTCGAGTACAGAAAAGTTGATAGAAGCAGAAGATACTTGAAGACGATGTAATCAGTCCATCACCCTTAACGTTTTGAGGTGGTCAGTCCCTCAGTCTGGAGAAGAGCATTGTTCCGTTGTCTGACTGAACACTGGAGACAAATAACAACTTCGGTCTTTACGTCAGTCACTGCTTGAGGCAACTGCCTCAACAGGTTTACCACACTTCACTATTTTTCTCCCTCATATTTCAACACTTCACTGCACATTGTTTATTACAATGATTATACCCTATATTTTCACAGGAGCATTTTATATTTATGCACTGCACATAAAGACCTCTGAGAATGCTTGTTCCTTTTAACTCACTTCACATTTATATATATCTCTTTTCCCGAGGTGGGCAGTTTGTCTTCCCGAACTAGACAACTCCCTTGACTACAGTTCACACAATTTGTCTAGATTTTCATTAAAAGCTGCACTACTAAAACAAGTTCAACATTCAACATTCATAGCACATCCCACTTCCTGACTCCCAGTGACACAGGATTAGCCTGGGTCCTTGCCAATGTCTTGCAGTGACAAAGGGTTACCCTGGGTCCTTACCACAGTCTCCCAATGACACATAGTTAGCTGGGGTTCTTACAACAGTCTCCAAGAGACACAGGGTTAGCCTGGGTCCTTTCCATTGTCTCCCAGTGACATAGGGTTAACCTAGGTCCTTAATACTGTCTTCCAGTGATGCAGGGTTACCCTGGATCCTTACCACAGTCTCCCTGTGACACAGGGTTAACGTGGGTCCTTACAAATGTCTCCCAGTAACACAAGGTTACCATGGGTCCTTACCACAGACTCCCAGTGACATAGGGTTAATCTGAGTCCTTACCACTGTCTCCCAGTGACACATGGTTGGCCTGGGTCATTCCTATCCTTTCCTATTATTCCTATCAATTTATATCCATTCCTATCATTCCTATTAATTCCTATCCACTTCTATTCATTCCTATCCACAGTCTCCCAGTGACACAGGGATAACCTGGGTCCTTGCCACTGTCTCCCAGTGACACAGGGTTAATCTTGGTACTTACCACTGTCTCCCAATGACACAGGGTTAACCTGGGTCCTTACTACTGTCTCCCAGTGACACAGGATTAACCTTGGTCCCTGCCAGTGTCTCCCAGTGACACAGGGTTAATGTGGGTCCTTACCACTGTCTCTCAGTGACACAGGGTTAACCTGGGTTCTTACCACTGTCTCCCAGTGACACAGGGTTAACCTGGGTCCTTGCCACTGTCTCCCATTGACACAGGGTTACCCTCGAACCTTACCACTGTCTCCCAGTGACACAGGGTTACCCTTGGTCCATGTCACTGTCTTCCACTGACACAGGGTTACCTGGGTCCTTACCACTGTCTCCCAGTGACACAGGGTTAACCTAGGTTCTTTGCACTGTCCCTCAATGACACAAGGTTAACATGGGTCTTTGCCACTGTCTCCCAGTGACAAAGAGTTAACCTGGGTCCTTGCCACTGTCTCCCAGAGACACAGTGTTCCTATGGGTCCTTACCACTGTCTCCCAGTGAAACAGGGTTAACCTAGGTCTTTGCCACCGTCTCCCAGTGACACAGGGTTACCCTGCGCCCTTACAACTGTCTCCCAGTGACGCAGGGTTAACCTGTGTCCTTACCACTGTTTCCCAGTGACACAGGGTTAGCTTGGGTCCTCACCACTGTCTTCCAGTGACACAGGGATAACCTGCGTCCTTAACATTGTCTCCCAGTGATACAGGGTTAACATGGGTTCTTACCACTGTCTCCCAGTGACTCAGTGTTAACCTGGGACCTTGCCACTGTCTCCCAATGAAACAGGGTTACCCTGGGTCCTTGCCACTGTCTCCTAGTGACACATGGTTAAACTGGGTCCTCACCACTGTCTCCAAGTGACACAGGATTAACCTGCGTCCTTACCATTGTCTCCCAGTGACACAGGGTTACCCTGGTTCCTTGCAACTGTTTCCCAGTAACACAGGGTTACCCTGGGTCCTTACAACTGTTTCCTAGTGACAAAAGGGTTAACCTGGGTGTTTGCCACTGTCTCCCAGTGACAGAGGGTACTGTCTCCAATTGACACAAGGTTAACCTGGGTCCTTTTCACTGTCTCCTAGTGACACAGTGTTAACCTGGTTCGTTACCACTGTCTCCCACTGACACAGGGTTAACCTGGGTCTTTGCGATTGTCTCCCAGTGATAGAGGGTAGACTATCACAGTGACACAGGGTTAATCTGGGTCCTTGCCACTGTCTCCCAGTGACACATGGTTAACCTGGGTTCTTACCACTGTCTCCCAGTAACACAGTAACACAGGGTTAACATGGGGCCTTAACACTGTCTGCAAGTGACACCGGGTTAACTTGAGTCCTTACCACTGTCTCCAAGTGACACAAGGTTACATTGGGCCCTTACCCCTGACTACCTGTGACACAGGGTTAACCTGGGTTCTTTCCGCTGTCTCAAAGTGACAAAGCTTTACCCTTGGTCTTCTCCACTGTCTCTCAGGGTCAGAGGGTTAACCTGGGTCCCAACCACTTTCTCCCACTGATACAATGTACAGTCTACCAGAGACACAATGTTAACCTGGGTGCTTACCACTGTCTCTCAGAGACACAGGGTTAACCTGGGTCCTTACCACTGTCTTCCAGTGACACAGGGACCTGGGTCCTTACCACTGTCTCTCACTAATACAGGGAACAGTCACTCAGTGACATAGGGTTAGCCTGGATCCTTCAGTTTGTCTACCAGTGATACAGAGTTAACCTGGGTCCTTACCACTGTCTCCCAGGGACACAGGATTAGCCTGGATTGTTAGGACTGTCTCCCAGTGGCACAGGATTAACCTGCGTCTTTGCCACTGTCTCCCATTGTCACGGGGCTAACCTGGATCCTTTCCACTCTCTCCCAGTGACAAAGGGTTAACGTG